GAGCATGAACGTCGTGCTCGGTTTTGGTGGGTGTGCGTGTGTGAAGCTCGTTACAATCTTTCTTTGTTACGAGCGAATAATGGTGGTGCAGATTCTCGGTTTTGGACGTGCACCGGATTTTGTGTTTTCCCGCTAAGAAAAAATGAGGAGGGACGACTCTGTGTTGTTGTAGAATGGACTTCAGTTTGGTAGCTTTGTTAGTTATGTATACTGTTATATGTTTAAGAAATTTGGGGTGTGTACTTTTGGATTTCTAAAGGGATGCTTGGATACAATTTTTTCTAAAAATTCCAATTATTTTCAACTCACTCGCTTTTGAAGTACCTCATCGTAATAAAGAGGAGATTTATTTCTCAATTACGTATTTTCTTATTCAAAATCAATTGTCTCAAAACAAAGGAGAATGAGTCTGTAAATAAGACTCTTAAAAACCCTAACTCTTAAAAAACCTAGATTCATAGCTTGTTCAACAAGACATGGATTTTGAATAATAATAATAATAATAACTTACCAAAGATATAAAGTAAATAAGGGAAATAATAAAAAATAACAATGGAATTAAATAATTGAGCTATCTCGTTTCCATCATGCTCTCCCGGCTGAGAATGATTCATCCTCGAATTTGAGCGTGATCTTGTCTCAGGTAGACCTGTCGCCCCATTGAGTGGTTGTCGCTGTTCGGGATTGTTGAGACTAAGAAGACTCCCGGCCTCCAATGAGCCTCACGCTCATCTATCACAGAATTCCTCTAGATGTTGTAGCCCACATGTAAATCGTCCAAGACGGCCATTGTTGTTTTCTCCGATCATGCACAAACGAGAGAACAAGTGCTATAGCATGATAGCTAGCAGCAGTTTTTATGTAGGCAACTCCTAGAAGTCTTTGGCAACACATGAGAGACTCATGTAGATACCTAAGAGCAACATGGACATTCCCCAAACCGTCTTCCCTCATAACCACATTAATATAGGTAGCAACAATATGTTAATGAGAAGGCTCGTCAGTCAAAGGCAAGAGAGACAGTTCCCGGTTGACAAACTTCAAAGCAAGCCCAGTATGTTGGAGTTTGTTATAGAAGACCACGAAATCCCCATAGCTTTTCATTGTGTTCGGAATCAAGGCCAAGCTTGCTGTCAGCTTGAGTCAAATCTCCTGTATGGTAGAGCACCACAGCCAGAAGACTATAAGCCCTCGCCTGATAGTGTGTACACTAAAAGCTTGACTTTAGATGTTATTAACACTATTTATGTGGAATAAAAATTCACGTGAAGTAATTTTTTTCACTCAATTTATCTTGCACTGGTCCATTATTTAGACCGTTCGTCACAACAGCCTAGGATCGCGGTCCAGCCCAAAACCATCTGTCNGTCGAAATGAAAGAGGACAGAGTCCAAAAACAAAAACTTCTATCCAGAAGCAATAGAAGACCTTGGATTTACAAAACATCTACCAAGGTGAAAGAAAAGAAACCAAAATACAGAAAGAACCCAAAAGACCCACAAAATCACATCTCAAACCTAACAGCCCAGATAAAAAGTGGAGGAACTCTACAAAATTAGTATCAGAAATCACCAAAAACTTCAGCAAACATGCCTACTGGAAGCTTACAACAAGTCCCTAGGCATGCCTACTGTAAACCCATGCAAAATAAAAGAGAAGAAAATAGAAACAAACTAAGAGTAGGCAGAAAACTCTGTCCAATCTCGAACCGCTCCGTCAACTAACTCCTTGGCTGAAAGCCAATTTCGTTCAAAAATCCATAAGTTACGACCTTTCCAAAGCCGCCACAACAAATACACTGTTAATTGTTGTCTTTGAGCAAAAATTTTGGAGTTTTTGCCTTCACAAATCCTGCTCCACCAACCTTTGAATCCGAATTCAGCGACATTACAGCAATCCCATGAAACTGGCGCCAATTTCCAAACCAAATAAGCACTCTCACAAAAAAATAGAAAATATGTTCCAATGATTCAGAATCTTCACCACATATTTCACAGCACTGATGAGGTTGTGATTCCTCAGCCATAACAAATGCTTCAGTTTGTGTTTAATTTTTAGAGCTCAGGTCACCTTCCACATTTTTTTCAATTGTTTTTTACTTGAGCTACTTTCTGGAGTGTCAAAGTGATTTTGAAGCAGTTTAAGAGACTTTGTATAAGCAGATTTCACTGTAAAATCACCATTGGAATTAAAAATCCAAATCAACTTATCTGGCTGTTGTAAGTTCTGATGAGGTACACTGAGTATGGCCTTGGCATCCTGCTCCACAAATATGTTTCTGATCAGGCTAGCATTCCATCTTTGGCCGCTCTCATCAAATAGCTGGTAAACTAATTCAACATTGTGATGGTCACAATATGCTCCTGATAGTCTGGAATTTGAGGAAGAGAGAAGCCAGGGTTCACTCCATATTCTTGTGGTTCTGCCATCTCCAATTTTCTTCCTCAGCCCTTCACTGAAAATTTTATCAGCTGCCACCCAACTTCTCCATAACCAGGAGTTGTTGTGCTTTACTTCTAATTTTTCCCAAAGGCCTTTCTTCATGTCTAGCTTGGATTAATCTGCTACACAGGCTTTGAGGATTAGTGTATATCCTCCATAGTTGCTTGGAGAGAAGAGCCATGTTTAATGCTTGAAGATTCTTCAAACCCATGCCACCTTCATCTTTAGGGAGGGACATTAAATCCCACCTTGTCCAATGAATTTTGAATCTCCCTTCAGCATTGCACCCCCACCAGAAATTTGAAGATGTGCTACCAATTTGCGTAAGAACTCTTTAGAGATCAAAAAACAAGACATAATATAGACCAGAAGAGCATTAATGACTGAGTGTATCCAGATTTCCTTTCCAGCTGGGCTAAGAAAGGTTTCTTCCAATTCAAAATCCTATTTTCAACAGACTTACAAACTTACCCAAAAACACATCTTTCTTAGATCTACCTATTATCATAGGGAGACCAAGATATCTAGAGCTCTGCATAATACTTATCACACCCAGAGTCTTACAAATAGCTTCTTTAATATTATTAGAAACATTACTACTGAAAAAACAAGAAGATTTATCGAAATTAACTAACTGGCCAAAATTAGCACAATATGAGTCCAAAAGAGATTTGAGAACAAGGGCATGGCCAGAATTGGCTTTACAAAAAATAATAGCATCGTCAGCAAAAAGATGGGTGACAAGGGGAGCAGATCTACAGATTTTAAGCCCAAGAGAACAATCTTCAAAACTGGCTTTTTTGATTAGATTAGAAAGTGCTTCAGAAATGATTAAAAAAGGTAAGGAGATAGCGGATCTCTTTGTCGAATACCCCTAGTGGCATGATTGATATGAAGGAATGACATGAGAATGGAATGATGATTCCCTTACTCATTCATTATCCCATGATTGGTATATTTTTTGGGAAGGAATGAACAGTCCAATGGGAATGGCAAAACCCATCTCCATGGGATTATCCATTCCATAGTAAATGGAAGGTTTTCTCATTCTCATGTGTGTAGGAATCAATTTTTCAAAAAATAAAACTAACAAATAATAATAAAAATAAATATATAATATATATTATAAATCATGATTAAAATATATTAAATAGAATTATTTAAAAAAAATTCAAATAAAAAAATTGAAAACTTATTTTTTATTTTATTTTTTAATTAGATATATTAAATACTTATATAAAAATAAAACTAAAAAAAGCATTTATATATAATTTAAAAATATATTTATTTATTTTTATATATTATTAAAAATATATTATTTTTTATATATTAAAAATATATTACTTGTAAGAATATATTATTTTTTATATATAATTTAAAAATATATTATTTAATTTTTATATATTATTAAAAATATATTATATTTTATATTATTAAACAATATATTATTCTATTTTTATATATTATTCAAAATATATTATTAAAAATATATTATTTTATTTATATATTATTGAAAAATCATTTATATATAATTTATTAAAAGTATATTATTTTTTAGAAAAAGCTTTTATTTATTTTTATAATAAAAAATGATAATGTCATTACATTCCAGTCTTATTCCTTCTGCATACCTAACGCATCAATGACAAAACATGTTTCATTCAATTCCCATAATCATTCTATTCTTCAATTTATTCCATTCTTACAAAATTCCATTCCATCATATCAATCATGCCATAGAGGATTTAAGAAAACCAGCTGGAGAACCATCCACCAAAAAGGAGCAAGAAGTGGAACTAACACATGGCATAATCCAGTTGATAAAAGTTTGACAGAATCCCATTTCCTAAGAATAGCAGACAGAAAATACCATTCTACTCGATCAAAGGTCACTTGGTTCTTTTAGTTGTCACATTTTTGTAGTTGCCTTTTGTTGTTTTCCCCTCCAAAGCAGTTGCACAAAGCAAAAATGGCCTACATTGTTGTTGTTTTTTTGTTGTTGTTATAAAAAATATACAAAAACATACCAAAAAATAAAATAAAATAATTTAAAAAGTTGTAGGTGCTATACTTCAAGACAAAGATCAACTAACAACTCCATATTGGGCCACCACAAACAAAAATCCAAGGACTCATGTATTACAAAACCGAATTCCAAGTCGATCAGAGGCCCAAACCAAGCCCGACTCAAAAACCCATCAACAAGTCCGGACCACCTTCGCATTGTGATGCCTTGGGCCAGCCCCATGGGCCCGACCACCACCGCTGCCTTCGTACGTGTGGTGGGCCCAATCGGGGTACTGGGGATAGAGGTCCCCATTTTGTTGGTGTTGTTTCCCTCGGGCTTTAAGTTCCTTGGGCTTCATGTGAATTTCATTCATCTTCTCCAATTCACCCAAAATTTCCTCCATATCGGGCCGACATTTTGGGTCGGGCTCGAGGCATTTTAGTATGAGCTCCGCTATGCCAAACGCGGCCTTTGATGGGTACTGACCCTGAAGCCGGGGGTCCATTAGTTTCCTCAGCTTCTTTTTGTTAGGCAGGAAAGGCTTGGCCCAATCCACCAAATTGGTCTGCCCAGTGGGCCGTCTGAGGTCCAGCACTCGCAGGCCCGTTATTATCTCTAAAAGCACCACTCCAAAACCGTAGATGTCGCTTTTCACATACAAATGACCTACACNAAATGATTTAAGTCAATGATTGATGATAGTTTGATTTATCATACACCAATTTTACTTGTTGATTGAAGTATATTTTAAATTATCGTGTGTTTCAAAATGTAAAATCAATACTATCAAAGTGGAAAAAAATATAGCTAATGATTGTATATGAAGAATGATGACGACGATATTGTTCAGCAAATATGCATACTTTTAAAATGAAATGTCACTCCTAAAAACAACTTAACAAAAGTATGATTGTTCATATAAGAGAGTATGCAGTTTTATTATAAAAATGTGATGGGTTGGTCAGCCTAATGATTATACCGATTCAAAACAAAAATAAATTGATAATCGATATTCGATTTGAAGAATAATTAAGTAATTAATTAATTACCAGTAGCCATATACTCAGGAGCAGCGTAACCATAAGTGCCGACCACCTTAGTTGTGACGTGTGAGTTGCCATTGTCCGGGCCCGACTTTGCAAGCCCGAAGTCCGAAAGCTTTGCATTGTACTCCTACACAAAAATAACACAATTAATTAAATCTATTTAATTTTGGAAGTGTCTAAAAAAGTGAATTATAACATATATATTATTAATTGTTACACATTTTAATTTAAATTTTAAATTCTTCAAAGGTTGCTTACTGAGTCGAGTAAAATGTTGGAGGCCTTAAAATCTCTGTAAATGACTTGTTTTTCTGTGTTGTGGAGGAAAGCAAGGCCTCGAGCTGCTCCAATTGCTATTTTCATCCTTATTTCCCATGGTATTGTTTCCCCAGAACCCTCTGAAAAATTAAATAAATTACCAAAAAGAAATTATGGTTAGTTAAATTAAATAAATATTGTCAAATTATAAGAATTATTCAATAATATTTAGGCTGCATTTAAGTAGATCCAATGGTTAAACGGTCATACTTTTTCTACTAATAGATGTGCATACTTTCGATCGTAAATCTCATAATCTAAATAACTACAAAAAACAAAACATGACATTTCATGATATAAATATGCATTTTTATTAAAAAAAAAAATATAACAGATAGACCCAACTAACGATTAAGCTTCATCACACAGTAATTTGTGATTTAATAAATAACCATAATTTAGGAGGAACAGAAAATGATGGGATTAGGAGGCTTACTTCTAAAGAGATGACTTTCTAAGCTTCCCTTTTGCATATATTCATAGACAAGGAGAAATTGTCTTTCCTCCCAACAGTAACCCAACAATTTAACAAGATTTGGGTGACTAAATTTACCCAAGAATTTCACCTCTGCCTGCACAAAAATTAAAAAGAAAATTTCAATTTTTTTTCCCTTTGAGAAATGAGATAAGGCAATCATATATGCTTCCACATTTGAAGTCAGCGGTCAACGATGTGAATTTTGTAGGCCCAAATGTCTTGGGAGCCTTCGTTGTAAAGTTATGTTATTAATTTTATTTTTTATCATATATATATATATATATTTGTAAACATTTATATAAATCAAAGTATTATAATTCACACTATAAATATATACTTTTTTATTGAAAAAATATGATTGGTGGATCAGGTTAGTCAGCTTAAAGCTAGCCATTTTTTTCTATCCACTTAAAAAAAAAAACTAATTTGTTATTTAATATTTAGCAAAACATCAAATGGGTATATAGAATATATACATATATACAAGAACAAGTCCACCATAATCCATAATGTACCTCGAATATCAAATTTTCCAGCTTGACCTTTATGTTTACAGGGTTAAATAATTATTTTTTAGTTAACTGTCGGTCTTTTAAATATTAAATAAACTAGAATATTCCAATATAACTTCGAAGGACAACTAAAATAATGAATGAAATCCAAATTGTAAAAGTTTGGCCGACAAAGACCTTTCAGAAATTACTTATATACAAAGATTAAATTAAATAATCACAGCTAATACAAAGTAAGTTTCTTGACTTCTCAGCATGTTTGTTTATGAAAATTTTTTGTTTTGTTTGAATTTTTTGGTTTGGTTTGGTAATTTTAAAAAAGATGGTATTGTTAGGTGTTAGTGGGTATATTAAAATAATATTTAAAATAAAATAATTAAAATTGATTTGATGTAAAAATAGGAAATAGATAATTTGAAGTGATAATTAGTTAAAATAATATGAGTGGATAATAGTAAATTAAGGTTGTTGTGACATGTATGAATGATTATGAATGATTGTATTATTTAATTATATTCATAATAGTGGAGTTGAGTTAAAATTGAGTTAAAAAAAGTGGATGAGTTTAAATGTTGAAATTTTTTTAAAATTTTTTTATAAACAACCATAAATTCCCAAGTTTGACTTATACGCCCCACGTCCCTTAATTATTATCAATGATTATTACGAGTGTCTATNNTGAAAAAAAAAAAAAAACACATTGAATTACGAAATTTTTTGTCTGGCAAAAAGTCTATTTGGTGTCCCAATAATGAGCAAAATAATTGTGATTATGTGCTACAATAAATTGTTACATTTACATAAATAGGAAAAAAACTGTAATTAACATTTCTTTTTATATATTTGTAATAATTATGTACATCATTTGACCTTTTCTTAGTATTGGACATGCACTAGATAGCTATTACGCTTTATCTTGATTTTTGCTCTTTGTAAACTTAACAATGAGTTCAAAAAACTTTAAAATTTAAAATACATTTTTTTGGAAAAAATGTACATTATATTTTTTTTATTACCAAAATAAATATATAATAATCAACATCAACATAAGAACGATTACACCAACACTTCAAATTCGACTCTCCAAACAAACAACTACAATATTAAAACAGGTAATTTAAGTCAAAATTAATATATATAACGTTTAATTTAAGTAAAATATTAATCTGAAATAATTACTAATTCCTATGACCCTTTAACCCAAATAAATTACGAACCTGCCATTCCTTGAGGCCCTGTTGGCTGTCGGGATCGGACTTCTTGACGGCGACCGGAACTCCGACGCCGACCTTCGACGGCGCGAGCGTCTTCCCGTCGACATACCCCTTGAAAACCCGGCCGAATCCCCCCTCTCCGAGCACCGTGTCCGGCCGGAAGTTCCTGGTGGCGCTCCTCAGCTCCGCCAGCGTGAACATCTTCAGGTTCGGCGTCACAATCTTCCCGCTCGCCGGAACCGGCCCTCCGCCGCCTCCCTGATCCATCGCCGCCGATCCGCGGCGGCCGTGGCCGTTGGCTGAGAAAACAAACCAGTGCGGTAAACCGTAAGCATAATTTTCGCCCAAATTCGATCGCAATAGAAAAAAGGGGGAAATTAAAAAACACTTACACACGCACCCATGTGGGTGAGTGTGTGTGTGTTTATTTACCTGGGCTAGTGGGCCGAGTGAGGTTGGCGGTGGGGAGATTGTCGACGGGCTTGGGCCAGCAGTTGCCCATTTCCTCTCTCTAGGGTTCAGGCAATATTCGTGAGTGAATATTAATAAAATTAAAATTAAAAAAAATTGAAATAAAATTGAAATTGGAAAAATAGGTTGTGTTGCAGCCTAATTGATTATGAGGTATGAACTATGAAGGTTGCAGGGAAGAAGAGAAGAAGATAGAGAGGAAAGTGGTGGCTTAGAACCAACAAATTCGAAACACACACGGTTCAATGGTGGTATAAATAAATAATTTACATATTGTATTTTATTTTATTTATTTATGCAAATTTTTATTTTAATAATTACAGAGACAATAATATCTTGACCAAGAACTTAGAAACGCACGCTGTTGTGCATTTGACTTTTTCAAACTACTGTGGATTGTATGGCTGGGTGTGGACTGTACTATTAACTATTAAGTGTATTATGTAGAGAGAGACTATAGGTAGGTTTTAATAAGACTGATATTTTAATGTTATTTTGACCTATAAATTGTAGTAATGATGGAGCGAGTCCTATATACGATGTTCATCCTCCTTCTTATTCATAATAATAAGTGTCGTTTTGATAAATTTTACAGTAATTAAAAATATTTTTTGTGCCAATAATAACCTTCATTAATGAAGATAGAAATTAATGTTTTGAGAAAAGATGAAGAGTAAATATGAAAAAACATAGTGTATTTATTAGCTAAATGAAGGTAATAATAGAAAAATATGTACAAAAGATCCAATACATCATTTATTTGGTTAATGGTTGATAAAACAAAATGACATTAAAAAAGAATAAGAGGTAGTATTGTTTTCAATAAATATAAATATTTACATATCTCCCTATATATAATTTCTGAATGCGCTAAGCCTACGTGGCTGCTTCTGGTGCTTTGGTATCCTACTTGACGAAGAATCATGCTTCGTATTTTGGTTTGGACAATTAATATTGATATTTTAAATTAATAATTTTAGGTTCGGTCATTCTATAAATTAAGTTCGGACATTCCATAAATATTATTAAGCTAACTTAGATAATTTCATAACATTTATACTAATATAACCTTTTAGTTCTTTATAATCTTACATAGTGCGGCACTAAGTGACTAATATATTCCTGACTTTTGATTTGCTTCCTTCAATCAGCTATTGATATATTTCCATTTGAATTTTACAGAAAAAGAAACGCACAGCATCTGCGTCTCCGCCGATCGTCCGAAGCACCAGTGCATGATTTCCCACTAATCACACTGCTGATTATATTCCCCGACCGTCCGAAACCATGGCCCCAGTTTTAATTTTCAAATTTAGTTCCTTCAAGTACCATTCATTCAAATCAGAATGGCCAATGATTTTAAAACTCCGACTGTTACTGCCTCCGATTGCTGGAGGATCTGCTGCCGCACGATCTCCTTGGCCGAGGTTGGTGTTGCGATGCTCACATGTACTAATTCGACTGCCCTTTATTTTTATCATATTGATTTAGCTGTATTTTGAACTTTTAGCACGATGTTTATTAGACGGCAGGCCTATGAACTACACCACTTTAATTATGAATTGAACTCCCCATTGTACTAAAATTAGACGGGGAGGTATTGATCCTAAAGTTATTTTTATTATTCATTCACGAATGATTGACCGTAGTTTGTCGGTCCTGAAATTTGTCAAATCCTAATGGTGAAGTCAACCTTATTTTTATTATGAGTGACTGAATAGATTTTTCCCTAATTTTCTTAATTATTCAGACTTTAGTATGTATATCAACTGGTTGCATTATGATTGACTTGTTGCATTTTGGTTGATTGCACATCTTTGTTTATACCTCTATACTTTATTGCACCATTGACATGTATGTATCTTTCAAATGCAAAGGTTGTTTATTTGTTATCACTTTTCGTATATTTGTAATTTATAATTTTATTGCATGGTTGTTTAGAAGTGCTTCTCTTTTTGCCAACATATGAAAGCCACCAATGCAGGATTGAATATTTCAGTGAACATGTGGAATGTCCTCTTTAGATATGAATGTAACTGCAATTGTGTACAATAAGATTTTTGCCTAATATCTCAATCTTTAAAGTTGTGACTGAGAGTTCCACAAACTGAACACATAACTGCGCAATGTAATTTGAATTGATTATTTTCTCTTTAAGTTTAACAGGGATATTGAGTGCCTAACTTTTTGAAGTATTTGGACTTTCAAATCAGTTTTTTTAGATTTTAAAAAGGAATGATGTTAGTTATAACGTTATATGCTTTTGGTATGTAATAAGGTATCACTCCTGTCTCAAATTAGCTTAATAGTTCTGAATCGATTAGGGCAAATTATTTTATAACTTTAATTAGCAGATACTACTTTGTACAATTACTCCAAGTTGTACATGTTATCAGAAGTTGTAGATTGATAAAATTTCATTTCAAGAACAAATCTGCCAAGACCAGATAAGTGGTGGTCGATTGAACATATTTTGTTATATGCATCTAATTGTACGTGTTAGAATGTCATTTTTTGTAAATAAATAGTTGATGTAACAGTACTGATCATGCTCAAGTAAAGTGTGACACATGAATTGAGTGGCTTTAATTTTTTCATGTTTAAATGTAATCAGGTTTCATAAGGGACAATTCTGATGAAAATTGTTGTATGTGAAATACAATAACAATATTCAGTGCTGCAATTTTGATTAAGATGGACCATATTTATGCTTTCATAATCTTGTTGTAAGCTTGTATACTTAATGTAGATTGATGTGCATCCATTTTATATATTACAGAATGTTGGTTTAGATATGATCATATTGTTAAATTTTGATAATTGGGGCATCAGTGGTGCGGTCCCACACAGTGAAACGCACCATAAGAGGATGAGCCTAGTTGCACCTTAGTGAGGTTCCATCCCAAAATCAATTGGTGATAGGAGGAGTAGCCCGCTAGGCTTATAAACTAGACTAACTTACCATATTTAATCATTGTGGGACAACCCACAAGTGATATTCCAACACGCCCCTTCACTTGTGAGTCCTTCGTCAACCCAAGCCTACAACCAGGCCGGGTACATTTAATCATCATCATAAGCCCGAGCCTACAACCAAGCCGAGTACATTTTTTAAATCCTCACGGGTCCCAAATTAGACCCGCTCTGATACCATGTTAAATTTTTATAATCGGTGCATCTGTGATGCGGTCCCACACAGTGAAGCGCACCATAACAAGGTGAGCCTAGTTGCACCTTAGTGAGGTTCCATCCCAAAACCAATTGGTGATGGGAGGAGTAGTCCACTAGGCTTATAAACTAGACTCATTTACCCTATTTAATCAATGTGTGATAACTCACAAGTGATATTCCAACACATATGATTATGGATAATGCAAGATTATGCATTTCTGACTCTGTTTAGGGTACATGGAAAGGTTATATTGAATTACATAGTTGAAAACATATTTTTGAAGTTTCAATTTTAAGGATTTAGTTGATGTTCTGGGATTTGTAATTCTTCATAAACTGTTCGTTTTCTTCATAATAGTTATTTTTAAGACCAGCTGAATTTGGTAATATTTATTATTTAGCGGAGAATCTATTGATTGTACTTTGTGGAACGAATTTGCAATCCAAATAGTTGAATATTGGAATAACAAAAAAGGCGATCTAGTAATCATCATTCTTTAATTAGCATGCTATGGTCAAGAATGAGAATATTATAAATCGAACTAATAACGTTGTATACTGAGAAGTTTTCAAAATTTGAAATAATATTACAATTTATTTTTTTATTTTATTATTTATTTTTTTATCTTATTAATTATTGTAGTTCTACCTTTTGTGAACATAATTTCTTTTAATCATCCGTGTATTACACGGGTGTTGTACTAGTAAAAGATTATTTAGATAAGAAATGATATTTTATAATGTAAAAATACATGACTACATTTGTGATCTTTTCATTACTATAATTATGATGTTTTATAATATAAATATACACGGACTACATTTGTGATTTTTTTATTATTGTAATTATGACACGTTATTGATGATCTTTCATTTGTTTTTTAATTCTTAATGAAAAGTGATTAATTTCCTAAAATTTATTCTAGCTATTATTTTGCTAATAATTGACTCTCCGTAGCATAGGATAGATTTGGTTTTCTAAAGTAGGGTCGCGCTCCAGCGAATGATGCTCCGTGAAAGAAATAAGAATAAATCGTAGCCGTTAGATCAGATGATTTAATGGCTACAAAAAAGTCTAAATTATACCTTCATTAATGGTAATGTAGTAATTTTATACATCACACCCAAAGAGGTGGACTCCACTCCACATTAATACCTGCCAACCACTCACACACACTAACCAATCTCTATCACACACTAACTCACACCACACACACCAACACGCACGCACAACAATACACACACGATTTGCACACACACGCTCACAGTCCACAACCACGTTCACCAACCGCCGGCAGCGGCCCTCCACCATCCCAACCCACTCCCCCACCCACCGAAGTCTCCTCCAGCGCCGCTACCACCGCCGCCAGCTACCCCGTTTTTCTCACCTTCTCATCCACCATCCCGCTAGAGTCCTCCTGCTTTTTTAATTTTTTTGATCGGATTTTGAAATCTCAATTATAATTGTTCTACTTTTATTTTAATTGTCAAAGATACGAGATATTAATAATACGAATTTAGTTGGACTAATATTCAGAAAGCCCTAATTTAGGAAATTGATTTTGATATTCTTTTAATTTATTGTAGGCGAGATACATGCATTTCCCTTTTTCTTTTGTGTGATTTTTCGAGAAAAAGAATTAAGAAATACAATAGTTTTTTTTTTTTTTTTTGGTACAACGAGAGGAGACAAGAGCCTAGGAAATTGAGGCAATTATATTCCGTGGGTAAGCAACACCAATGAAGTCATACTGTATCCACAGTTTAACTATCGATGGTGAGTCTAATAAACGTTGGCAACCACTAGGAAATTGAAGTGCTAGCGTCGCCAAACAATCAGCCGCAAACTTTGCTTCTCTATAAAAGTGGGTCACTGTAGCCTCCCAGTCCCGGCTAAGCAGCTCTCGGATGGCCCAAACCACACTACCATGAACTCCAAGGATCTCCACTGAATCGCCATTCGCCATAGAAACTACACTTTTATTGTCTACCTCGATAAAGATCTTTCGATAGCCCAACTCCCATGCTAAGACGAGGCCTTGAAAAAGGCCCCATAGCTCTGCGCCCATTATAGAACAAAAACCGATATTCATGACAAACCCCGTCTGCCGCTATTCCAGACGCAGTCAAAAGGGAGCCGTCCGTATTGATTTTTACAACTCCAACTCCCGGAGCTTCCCACCGAATGAAGTGGACTTCACGGTCCTCACCGAGACCGCCCAAGTTTATGCCGGCCGAGGTAGTTAGCTTGATTCCATGAACAAAAGAGCGAACCTCCCGAACCTTCATATCCACAACCAACCCTTTATCTGATTTTTTTTTTTCTTTTCATGAAATACAATAGTTTTATGTCGTGTAAAATCGCAACAATAAAAAGCTTTGTTCTCGGGGGCCCACAACACCGTGTGCATTGGAAATAACTAATGAAAATGACATCCTCACCTAATAGCTCTATGGCCTAATGCAGCTTGTTTTTCTTTATCTTTTATGTATTTCGTTATTAATTATTTCANGTCGGCATAGACCTACAATGATCAAAATAAATTTTCCCCTTTTTGGACAATCAACAAGCTCAAATGTGCAAAATATCAAAACTAATATTGATTCTGAACACTTCACAAAATTCTTACATATCCATTATGATCAATTCATAACTTCCCAACAACAACCATAAAGAAAAGAAAACGAAAAACAACAAAGAACACATTCTTCATCAAGAACCAGCAAAAAATTGATACAGAAAAACAAGCCAACAGATTCACCTGATGCCGATAATTCCCATACCCGTTCGAACCCGCCACCAGCAACGCCCACCTGGTACCGTTCTCCTCCTCTTCACGGCCGCCCACCGGCCACCGGATAATGGGATCCCACGGTCTCAGCCGCCTACCACCTGCGGCTGCAATTTGCGCCGCCGCCGCTGCCGCCACAATCAGCACCAGAATCGCAAAATGGGAGGAGGCCATTATGAGAAAACGCGCAAAGCGATAGGCGTTAGAGCGAGTAATTGTTGTTTACTCGGGACTCGTTGCCGGTGAAGGTTTATAAATTACAGGGTGCCGGCAGCCATGCAAATTAGGGGATCGACACCTGTGCGGGTGGTGTGGCGGTGGTGGGCCCATAGCTGGAGAGCGATCAACAGGTGGAAATCAATGCATTTGAAAATCATTCTTCCCTTTCACTTTATGTGTTTACCAATTACCAGCTGAGTTTATTTCAGCTCTCTCACTATTTTACCACTCAAAGTGAGAACTTTTATCCTGAGGGGCTTGTTTGTTTGACATAATAAGATTGGATAGGGGTATTTTTTTTTTTTTCCAACAATAAACAAGCCATAAAATAAAACTCGGAATCAAAGTCATTACAACGCGCACTCAAATGAGCACAAGCACAATAGCAACCCACACAAATGGACTAACCATTAGCCACGAGAAACCTACACTAGGTCCTCTTACAAGCCTTCAAGGCCAAATCTAAGGAAGAAATACAAGCAAACTTGTCAAAAAGAAAATTACAAATGGTGAAATGTTGTGTAGTATTATTTATATCCTCCACAATAGCAAGAACTCTCCCTTGTGCAGCAGTATTCTGATGTAAAATCTGAGCAATATGAAATGAATCAACTCTGCAGCAAATGGAAGAGGAATATCCAGTTTCATGCAGCAACTTCAGTCCCCATCTTACAGCCATAAGAGTAGCTTCAACACTGTCTCCAGCTCTCTCACTGCATTCTTGCCAATTGTAGAGTATCCTTCCTTCAGTCTCCACTACACCACCAAATGCAACAGCTCCATCAGGTAGCAGGCAGGCACTGACAGTTAATAGGAACTGTCCTACCCCTCTATCTGATACATTCCAATGATCCAAATGGTCACCAGTAGTTCTGTGTGTCCTTCTCAACAATTCCACTGAAGAACTCTCAAATTCACTCCATTCTCTTCTTGCCCCATCAACAATGTCTTTCTCAGAGATGCTCTTCTTTTCAAAAATCCAGCTATTCCTTGTTCTCCATAACCACCATAACAGGTAAGTTGAGAGATTTACTCTATCCTCAATGCACTTCTCTGTCCTACTAGAGCATAAGTCTACCCACCAATCCTTAAACACAATCTTATCCCTATCAAAATGCATCCAACTTAACCCACTAAGCTTCCAGCAAGTCACAGCTCTTTTACAATTAAATAGGATATGCTCTAAGTCTTCTACCCCTTCCCCACACACCTTACAGATGCAATCAATTTGAATTTTTCTATGAAACAGATGAGTATTAACACTAAGAAACCCATACCAGCATCTCCAAATAAAGTTCTTGATCTTACATTTCACTGGCAGCTTCCATGTCTTTCTCCACATTGCTTGCATTATTCTTGGATCTGCACTGGAGCTGGCCATTCCCTGAGACTGTCTATGTTGCTCAAGAAGTACTTTGTAGACTTCTTTTACACAGAACAATCCTTTAGGGTGCCAGTGCCAGATTAACCTGTCATGAGCATCTGCATGGCTGATAGGAATATTTAAAATAAGTGCAGCTTCTTCAGGGCAGAAAGTTTGATTCACTAGCTCCTCATCCCACTCAATTTTATTACTCTTAAACAGCTCACAAACTTTTTTAAATCTCATCTTATCACTAGCAAACTGGACAGTAGGGCAGAATTTGGAAGTATGAGGAACCCAAGGAGACTCCCACACATCTATAGACTTACCATTACCAACCACATATCTCAGCCCCAATTTTAGAGATTTTCTAGCATGGAGCCAACTCTTCCAAAGCCAAGAGTCAGAGCTTCTAGCAGACACCTCAAATATTTTCTTGTTCCAGAAATATTTACCCTTCAACAATCTACTCACAAGCAAATTAGGTTTAGTAATGATCCTCCACAGTTGTTTAGTCAGTAGAGTTTCATTAAAAACCTTAAAATTCCTAAACCCCATACCACCAGACTCTTTAGACCTAGATAACACATCCCACCCACACCAATGAATTTTTTGCTGCTTTTTCTCAGAAGAACCAGAGCCCCACCAAAATTTAGCAATTTCCCTGCAAATATTGTGACAGACAGATACAGGGAGCCTAAAGCAAGACATCACATAAGTAGGCAAGGCTTCTAGAACTGATTTAATAAGTGTTTCTCTCCCAGCCTCACTCAAAAACTGGTTTTTCCAATTATTCACTCTACTCACAACATATTCTGTGACAAATTTGAATGTTTCCTTTTTAGATCTACCAATACCTAAGGGAAGCCCCAAGTATTTGGAAGATTTAACTCTAGAGATCCCATTCAACACATAGCAGATATCAGACTGAAGCTCATCAGAAGCATTTTTGGAAAAAAGAACAGAAGATTTATCCAAGTTGACCAACTGGCCAGAAGCATCCTCATACTTTCTAAGAATATCAAGAATAAGATTAGCATGATAGCAATCAGCTTTACAGATTACAATTGAGTCATCAGCAAAGAAAAGGTGGGACACAACAGGGGCAAATTTACCAATTTTAACACCAGAAAACAATCTCAGGTTGCAGGCTTGTTTGATTAGGTTAGATAAAGCTTCAGACATAAGAACAAAAAGGTAAGGAGACAAGGGATCACCTTGTCTCAGACCTCTTGTAGGAACAACATAGCCTAGCACAGAACCTTGAACATTAAAAGCAAAAGAAGATGAACAAACACAAGCAAGGATCCATGAAATGAAGGAGTCACAGAAACCCATTTTTTTAAGAACCTTAGCCAAGAAATTCCATTCAACTCGGTCATAAGCTTTTGCCATATCAAGTTTAATAGCCATAAATTTATCTTTGCCAGATCTTTTGCTATTCAAGAAATGCAAACACTCATTAGCAATCACAACATTGTCTATAATTTGCCTACCAGGAATGAATGCAGACTGAGCATGGTCAATGCAGTGATGCAAAACAATTTTCAGCCTGTTAGCAATGATTTTGGCAATAATTCTATAAACAACAGTACATAAACTGATAGGCCTATGATCAGAAACAAATTGGGAGTTTTTCTTTTTGGGAATAAGGGTAATGACTGTATGATTCAAATGTTTGGGCATTTTACCTTTCTGGAAAAAGTTTTTAACAGCATCACACAGCTCAGTTTTTATAGAGGGCCAAGAGGTTTGGAAAAAAGCAGGAGACATCCCATCATACCCAGGAGCTTTGTGTTGGTCCATATCCCAAAGGGCAGTTTTAATCTCACTCTCACTAACCTCTCTGGTTAATGTCTTATTCATATCCTCAGTTATAGAAACAGGAATACCTGAAAGATCACAATGGTTAACTAGAGGATTAGAAGTTTTAAATAAGCAATCAAAATATCTACTCAACTCTTCCACAGTATCCTGCTTCCCCACACACCTACTCCCATCAGATCTAACTAAGTTCTGCAAGCTATTTAAAGATCTTCTCTGCCTAACACTAGCTTGAAAAAACCTAGTGTTTCTATCCCCCTCTTTCAACCAGCTCACCCTAGCTTTCTGCTGCCAAAACTCTTCTTCCATTTTGTAAGCTAGATGAAGTTTATCCCTATAAAAAGCCCATTCATCCCAATCCCTGAGACCACCCAAATTATCCATTCTATCAAGCTCCCCCTTACAGTTGTTAATGATGTTGAGGGCATTGGACTTTTTACTCTCCTTCCAGATCAGCAAAGCTTTCTTCACATTCTTGATTCTACCCCCCATCCCATAGAGAGCTGGCCCTTCCACAGGAGCAGTCCAAGCTTCTTTAACAACTTCAGAAAATCCCTCCATTTTAGCCCATCTTGAGTCAAAGAAAAATCTCTTTCTATTGGATTCCACAGTACAATTAGACTCCAAAACAAGCATATTGTGATCAGAGGATGCCATAGAAATATTGAGAACTCTAGAGTTAGGGTTATTCAATAACCAATGGGGGGAAACTAGGAACCTGTCCAGCTTGACTTGAATGAAGTCAATACCCTTTCTCATATTAGACCAAGTGAATTTAGGTCCAGATACAACAGGTTCCACTCCCCCAATATTACTGATAAAATCCCTAAACCCTCTGAAACTACCCTCCTCTCTACAACTGCCCCCTTGTTTTTCAAGATTATCAACAATATCATTAAGATCCCCCCTAAAAACCAAGAATCCCCCCATCTCAAACTATGTCTAATAAGAGAGTACCATTGTTGTTGTCTAATCCCCAAGATGGAATTAGCATAGACAAAAATACCCCAGGTACTCTCTTCAAAACCATCCAACAGGAACTGAACTTCAAACCCAAAGTCAAAACAATTAAAATCCAAGACCTCAACCTTCTGGGACCAACAGAGGAATAATCCACCACTAGTCCCACAGGGTTTACTATAAAACCACCTATCCTCTAACTTAAGTTTTCTACACACAGCAGTGACAAATTTTTCTTTTTTTTTTTTACTTCTGAAAGAAAAACAAAATCTGGGGAGTGAACTCTAAGGGACTCTTTTAACTGGGAAATTGTAGAGGGTCCCCCCAAACCTCTACAATTCCACACACATACCTTCATTTAAAACTTTGGGACCAGTTAGGGCTGGTTGCCTCCACCACAGAATTAGTATTTTGAAGATCCAATTTGATTTTTTTGTTAGACTTGGATAAATTCAGATCTTCTTGATTTTCCAAGCCTTCTCTTATTATCAAAGATCTTTTAGAATTCAGCAAAGGAGAAATTTTAAGATCCACAGCCATTTTTTCAGAAACAGGTTCTTTCCCCAGTTTTGATTTTCTTTTAAAAGCCTTTTGTTTTCTCTGCAAAACCCTAGCCCCAATAGAACTTTGTTGGACAGCAATATCCACCAGTTCAGAAGGTATAAGTCTAGACTCCTCTGGTATAGTTTCCAGAGATTGAAAACTATTAGAGTTCTTGCCCCCAATAGGGTCAAGGCTACTCTCATCCATGGAACTCCCTCCTAATTCATTATTAGGTTCAGGTTGTTTGGCCATGTTAACCAGAGCAAGGAACTCTTCGTTCCTCTTATCTTTTATGCCACTACCTTCCTGCCCAGCAGAGATTTCTCTCTCATCATTCTTATCAAAAGACCTACTACCAGAGTTAGGACTATTAAAAGATTTAGACCCATTCAAATTAACAGGACTAACCCGCAACCACTCCCCATACTGCCCTAGATTCACAGCATTTCTAAGGACATCCTCTTTCTTAAAGTCACAGTTTCTATCACTGTGCCCTAAACGACCACAATAAAAGCAGAAGCTTTGGAGACTTTCGTACCTGAAATCCACCCACTTTGATTCGGCTCCAAGTTTTATTTTGCTGCCTCTGAGGAGCGGTCCCCTTATTTGCATCTCCACCAACACTTTGAGGATATTACCCTGATGACTGGAAGCTCCTGGCACTTGCACATCCAGCGGCTTGCCTATCAATCTCCCTACCTTTAGTCCCGTCTCCGCGCCAATCCAATGGAGCGGCATGTTATGGATTTGCACCCATATTTTGATGTGCTCCTCTGCTTCCCTAAATATTGTCTCCCCTGGAGCCCATCTTTTCAGAAGTATATATTGGCCGTCGAAGCTCCAAGTTTTTCCAGTAAAGATCTTGTCTCTGTCCTCCGCACATTGGAACAGAAATTGGAAAACATTGTCTCCCAAGCTTTTAATAGTGAACGGGTGCTTCGTCAACCATATGGACCCTAACGTAGTCTTGAGACCGTAAAAAATTCGCCTTTTTCTCGCCATATACTTTACCCAGGAGACTAAGTTGGCATTCATTCACCGTCGGGGCCACATCTCCATCTTGCAACTCAATTCCTTCCTCCTCCTTATCTAAGAGAGCAAATTTTCGAAACGCCTCTGACAGCTCTTGGTCCATCCTAACAGAGAAACCCACCCCACAACCCCCAACAACCACCCCTACCAAAAAGCAAAACCCCAACCCCACAAACCCTAACCCTACCCTCAACCCCCAACCCCAACAAGACAAGGCTCACACGCTCCTGGGGAATCCGGAATAGGTATAGGTGGGATGGTAAGGATAAGCAATAACATGAAAATAAACTTGATTTAGCATAGATCTGGCAGATCCAATTATGACATAAAAACTAGAAATGCAAGAGATGCAGACATAGTTAAACAGACACACAAACAACACAAATAAACTAGAAGAAAACAAAAGATACACTAGATCGAAGAAAGCCTAAAAGAGAATCAAGGGGAAAGCACGATTCAACGAGCAAACAAGCAGACTCCAACTAGTGGAACGGGACTCTAGAATGTTACTCTAAAGGGGGAATTTGAGGTCGACATAAATTTAGTGTACAAAGAATTAATAGAAGTTCTCATGGGGCTGGTCGAAAAACTACTGACTTTAGGAGCTCGGAGCGCCGAGGTTCGGGGAAGTGAAGTGCCCATTAGATTCTAGCCATGTGAAGTGAACAAATGACAAATGAATAAATGATTGAATTGGATTCTAATCATTTGATTCTAACTATGTGAGGTGAAAAAATGACAAATGAATAAATAATTGCATTGGATTCTTTTGCATTAGCAATAACAAATGAATAAACCATTACTTTGCATTAAATTCTTTTGTATAGTCACTAAATTTGTTCTGCATTGAATTCTTTTCTCTATTTATAGAACTCACTTCTAAACCACACTTATTACTCATTTCTTCTTCCATTGTAGTCTTCTTGTTTCTATGTCACTCTTCTTGAATATCTTCTTTTCTTCAAAATGTCTTCTTCAAATGGGCCAAATTATTCCAAATCGAAAGATGCCTTAATTGGGAGATGTTACATAGGCATTCCACATAATCCAATATAATCAAATAACCAAAGTTCTGCAACTTTTTGGAAGAAAATACATAATGAATACAACTCCCAAAAACAAAAGGACTAGCTAGAACGCTCTATAGGGTCTCTTGACTCTTGTTACCATCTCATGGAAACTCATTATCAGAGGTTTAATAGATGCTTGAAGCAAATCGAATATCGTAATCCTAGTGGGATACAAATCCAAGATAGGGTGAGTATTTTGTTTTAAGTTCAACCTCGAATCATGATATTTGCTTGTTTTATAGTTATACATACAAATATATATTTTTTACTTTAAAGAAGGCTTCAAGTTCTAGCATGTATTTCGATTATCCAAAGAGTTTAAAAAATTTGATTATCACCACGATCTTGTCGTTGGGATTTTGATACAGTCAATGACTCTTCCGAGTCCGACGTTCAATATGATGGACAACCAACACCAGAGTCTCTGGGATTGTCGTCTTTTAGTCCTCAACAAAGTGATGGTGGTGTTGGTGGAACATCCTCTCGACGTCCAATGAGAGCGAAGAAAACAAAATTAAAGAAGAAAAATGAAGACCAATTTTGTCAGTATTTTAATACTCTGAAAATGCTAAAAGTGATACTATTGTTGATTTGTTGTAGAAGGCCGAAGAACGCCAAAGTGTCTAGCTTCAATTGCAGAAACAACAACTTGATTTGTAGAAAAGGAGGGATGAAAATAGAATTTTGATGTTTGGTTTGAATTCTCTTATGAATCCCATGTTAGGGCGACATTGGGAACAAAAACCACAAAGCAACAACAATCTCAAGTAACACCACCATCATCTAACACGGGTCACTTTGGATTTCTTGATGACATCGGGCATGACAAAGGAAATATATATATATATATATATATATATATATAATTGTAGGCCATTACATTAATGCACTTGCGTATATTTTTTCACCCAAACTCATTTTCCGGTCAATATGGTAAGTCTTAATTTATGTTTACTTTGTGTTTACATCTTTAATATTGTAATAAATATTGTAATATTCAATAAAAATTGTAAAAGTTATGTTTTTGAAACTAATTTAATTGTGATATTGTTATATTAGTATTTGCAATTAATATTATATTTTGATTTAACGGTTACAATATGTTATTACATATCTCTTCTTTCAACTGTAAATTCATTTCAAAACTTTAATTTGTATGATATATAAGATTTTCTATTTTAAATTCATATTTAATCTCAAAGCATATAAAAAGTTATATTATTCATTATATTCATACAACAATTGTCATTAGTATATGTAAAACTCCACATGTATATTATCTTTTTACTAAAATCTAAAAATTAAGCTTATATGTATTAATTAGTAAATAATTTACTTAGTTAATGTAACAATTCAATTATACATGCGATACATATTATCAAATAACTTTTTATTATAATATTCTTTTTATATAAAAAGTTTGTGCTAATTTTTTTTTCTTTTTTTGTGTAATTTGTGCATGTGCACAGGATGAATTACTAGTTTGAATAATTATTATGGATAATTAAGTCTATCAAATCCACTATTTTGTAATCATTTTTATTTTTTATTTTCTATATCAATTATCGTTGTTATTTTATGCGTGAGCTTTAATGATGGATTTTTTTAGTTTATCTTAATTTTTTAAATTTTAATTTTAGTGTTTGAATTGTTAATTTTAAGTGAGCTGAATGTTTCTTTATTTTGTAATTTTAACTTGTTTCTTTGTAATATTTATTTATTAAATATTAATTAATATTCTATCATATTAATTAATAAAGTATGCAAAATATTTCACTACTTAAAATCTACCATATTAACTACAGTAATTAAGTTTAAATTTTCATAATATATTTTAATTTGACCCATAAAACTAATTGACCGCGCGTCGCGACGCGAAAAATTTAAATTTATATAATTTCCTCAACCAACCTCTACTAACTAGTAGTAGCGGGGAGTAAGGGTCGATCCCACGAGGAGCAGGACTTAAGCTGTGATGATTCTCTTATTTCTTGAATTAAACCTACGAAAGCAGTAAATGGAGGGATTGATTTATAAAACTAAAAATAAAATAAAAATCAAATAAAATAAGAGAAGTCCAGTTTTCGGTTCAGTTATCACCCAATCTAAATCTACCGTTAATTAATTTCGACGCTTTCTCTAAATTGCTAACGAATTACCAACCCTAGCTAACAACAAGCTCTGTTAACTGAATTTTCCCTTACCGAATATTTAATCGAAATAGGCTCTTCGACTAAACCTAACTAGCGGACAACCTAGAATAAGCTCTCTATATTTAATACACTAGCAGCATTAATTACTAGGAAAATAAATTGATCTAAGCAATGGACGCAAAAGTTCGGACCATTTAACTTATGTTCATGCTACCCTAGAGATGCGCGACCCTTTGTTTACTACTAACGAAACGAGAACAATAACAATTACCGATTAAAGCCTCGAATCTAGTAGTTAAATTAAGAATATTCAATCTAGCTGGCCAAACTAAATCAAACACCATAATTCATAAACACGATACACAGATAACACGAATCAACTCATCAACAAAAACAAATAAGGCGTCTTAATTAACCAACGGTAAAAATAAATCCTTCAATTCATAAACAAATCAAAGTTAGGGTTCAAACATCCCCTAAAATTGGATAAAAGTACTAGCCTGACATATTAATGAAACTAAATGCTAGATAAAAGAGAAGAAAATAATATTCTCCCCTTGTGTGCGGGTGCGGCTTCCCTCCACGTATTGTGCTCTCTTCTATGTGCGTGAGTTCTTTTTTTCCTGGCGTTTTTTTTCCTCCGTTTCGTGTCTCGGCTTCTTTCACGTAAAAATAATCTCTATCTACTCCAATGTGTGTTATTTTTCTTTTTTCCCACGCTGCTCACAGATCCAATTAAATTAAAGTCCCTCAAGCAATTAAACTCTCCATCCAAAATTCTCAATCTTCCAAAGCCACGTTTTTTTTTTTCCTTCACCAATTAATTCCACAATCACAGCATTTAATTAATAAAGTCCACTCCAAATAATCTCTTGACAAAGTCTGCCAGCCCTATTTAACAATTGGGCTTAAACTTCGACTGAAATTGGGTCGGTACGGAGTGCTCGATAATCGATCATGCGAACTTTCGCCTAATGCTCCGCGTCTATAAATTACCCCAAAATACTGAAAATAACACATAAAACATCAAAACAAGTAAATCCATCCAAATAATAAATAAGTCGAAACAATATAAACTTGCGAATAAATATAGTGTATAAAAATACACTATTAAATATATAAAACGTGCACATTTTTCGACCTATCACTAATTAATTCATTCAACCCAATTGTAGTTAAAAAAAGCTCGGGAAGTTTTTATTTATGCTATGTGATTTTAAATTAATTGCAACTTTACTATACAAGTTGAAATAATTATGTCTCTACCTAAAAAACTTTATTTATCTATATTAATGTCTAAAGACAGTTACCATATCCTTCCACCTCCATCCCCCTTTTTATGCGTTGAAAATAAATAACTGACTCATTAAATTCTTTAATTCGCGCAACTTGGAAATCTTAATTCACGCAGCTGTCAGGTGGTATATATTAAGTTTATATTAGTATATATTCAGTATTTGTTGCAACGAAAAATACGTCTTCCATCAAAAAATTATGTCTTCCTGTTTTTTTTTTTTTTTTTTTTTTTTTTTTTTTTTTTT